CTCTGATGGTTAACGGTAAACTTTATTTACACTCTGATGGTTAACGGCAATCTGAGGTTCACATGAGTTCTGGATCTGTACGGATCCACTACGGTCTGTTACACCACTAATAGGGAGACTGTGGCTAAGTGGATAGCAGGGCCGTCTTTCAATCAGAGGGTCGGCAGTTCAATCCCCGGCTCCGGCTCTGCTAGTCGCATGTCGATGTGTCCTTGAGCAAGACACTTAACCCCAAAACTGCTCCGTAGCTGTGCGGTGTAGAAATGTGATAGAATCTGAATTGTAAGTCGCTTTGGATAAAAGCGTCTGCTAAATGACTGTAATGTAATAAATAACTTATCAAACTCTCAGACATCGTTGTGTAGAAGTTGTAGTGAAATCTACTGAGCCCAAAAGCTACAAGACCATAACAGACCATACTTCTAACCAATAAGACAGCAGCATGTGTTGGTGTGGTGACATCAGACAGCCACGCTGTTAAAAACATCTCCATAAAGACCGTTTGGTCCAGTATTTTTAAACCAGATTTTCTTAAATTCAACTTTTTTGGTGAAACAACAGAATCAGTGGAAGAAGGGGCAGCACTTCAACTTAAACACTGACGGGCTTCTTCTGGGTCAACAATCCTCACAAAGGCCACCATTGAGAGCGGAGCGGCAGTCGGCCATAATAGGAGCCGGGGCCTGGCTTTTCTATTGTGCTGTGTTTGTTTCTCACAGCTGATGGTGGAGAGGGAAGGACTTCTTCTCTTTATCACTGCAGTGATTTACAGCGTCGGATTCTCCCGTTAAGTAAGTAATTATTACATTTAACGCTGGTCAGAGTCAAAGTGGTGCAGGAACTAAGCCTCTAATAGCCTTATGGACTTTAAACACGTTACAGACATGTGATGTCGTCGCTTTACTGTTTTATTTTTATTTGTTGATTTTACTGAATTATTTATTTTATTTTTATCGTATCGATTGTCTCATTATTTCCTTTCTTTTGCTGCTTTGACAAAACCACTTTGTAAACTCTGTTATTAAAGGTGCTGTATAAATAAAGTTATTATTATAATAACACGCATGTTTGCTGAGTATGTTGAAGTAAATGTAACGTTTCATGTAACAAGTATGCTGAAAGGTAGTTTCTGGTGGTATTGAACCTGTAATATTATTAATGTTATAAACTTTAAGTAAACCGATGCAGTCTGTTGCATTCTGTACGATCTGTGAGATTAAACTGGAATAAGTGTGACATGTTTTGATGCATCATTCATGAGTAAAGATAATCATCACAGCCCATATTCCAAAATCTATGAAGAGTAAAACTCAAAGTTTCGTGAAGAAAGAATGAGGAAGAGTCTCTGTGGAGCTGAAGTGATGAAGACGAAGATCATCATTTATCATGTCGACCTTTTCCATCAAGCTGGGTAATAAGAAACCCAAAATAATCCTAAATGAACCTTCAATGAAGACATTTACCGACAGTGTTCCTCTTATAATGATACCGTGTTACATGGAGGGTTAGGGTGAACTTCATTGAACAGGTAGTTTGGATGGAGGGACAAATTACATAGAATCTTAACAACAAAGTACTTTTGAACTCCAACTTTCACAAGTCTTCCATTTGTCATAAGTTGGCGGGACTCTCGTTGCATAAGGTTCCTCTGCTACCAAAGTACACCTTCTGAATTTGATGCAACCAGGCTGAAGTTATTGTACACATAACGATGGAAGCATCGTTTTTGAATTACACGACTCCATGATGGGTGGAGTATTGGCTCACACAGGTGACTCTGCAGACACTGATCCAGAGTGCATTAGCTCACCTTGCTGGAGACAAGCTTGACATTCCCTGAAGCCAGAGCCACTGCAGTATCAGCCATGACCTCCGCCTTGATGGAGCCCAGTCCTCCGGTGGCGCTGGTCTTAATGAAGCTGTCCAACACCACATCCAGCAGGTCGGTTATCTGAGGACACACAGTGAGAGAGTCAGAGGTGAAGATCCACGACCCGTTTACACTCATCGGGGCTGTCTGTGTGGCGGACCCACCTGGCCCAGGCTGCCCCAGATCTTCGCCTGGATGGAGGGGTACATCTGCTTCTCATTGATCGTCATGGTGATGAGTTTGTCCAAGATGGCGGTGACGCGCTGGCGCTTGGCGTCATCGTTGTGTTTGCAGAAGCGAACCAGGTTGAGCAGCCAGGGCGTCATGTACTCCAGGCAGAGATGCTTCAGCTCGATACCTGCGATAGAAAAAACAAACACGATCGATATACATTTACTTTTTAATATTCAAACAGGACTGTCATCCAGGAGAGAAGGGTTCCTGTTGCTGGGCAAAACCTAAAGCAACTTAAACTTAACGTTGGTTTGTGGACTGATGGTTTGAAGCCTCGAGTTCAGCGTTTTGGCCGTCGCCATCTTGTTTTTTTGCAACCAGTGAACAGGAAGTGACCATATCTGGACTGAGGAGGAGTGACGTAGAGACGACGTATACGTCTCTGGTAGAGACCTGTCAATCACTGTGTAGCCCCGCCTTTATTATGTTTGTTTAAGTTTATGTTGTAGTTATCACAAACATATTGTAAACACCTGCTGTAGCCTTGGTGGTAGAACACAGCGGTTTAAATCACAGAAAGGACGAATTGATCATCCATCATGTGTGTAGTGAGAGTCAATCATAATCAACCAAAATAAAAGAACCACACTCATCCATGAAAGTGGACTAAACCCAAATCACTGGCAACACTTTCAAAAGCTGCAGTAAAAAAAAGGTGTTCTCGCCTGCTTCACATAATGTGAAAAAACAAGGATTCATTGTGACCTTTTTATAACTTTCCATAAATAACTTAAAGAACTAAAATGTTCATCTATAATAGCTGTTTTTAGTCTATTTCGTGGGAGCACAGGGCTTAATAAATAGAAAACATCAGAGGTTGTGGTGTTTGTAAAGAGCAGCATGGCTTCTAGGAGCTGCTAGCAGGGTTGTTAGATTCTTAGTACTTGTCTCATTTCCACTCCAGTTGAGCTGATAATCATTTTATGTAATGAATATGTGACCTCCCATAAACATCTTTGCACAAACCCTGAAAAAAGGCAGTTTTTTAGCAAGCAAGCAAAAAAAACCTTCCAAGTTATGAAGTGACTGCAGGAGTCCTGTTAAGTGGACTTACTGGACTTGCTGAAGCCTGAGATGCACTCCTCCAGAAACTCCAGTGTCAGATGGGGCTCGTTGGCTGCCAGAGTCTTGCTGATGGAGACGATGAAGAGGGTGTTGTTAGCGGGGATGCAGAGGCCCGACGTCTCCAGCAGCTGGCCCTCTATCTTCAGGTTGAAGGTACAGGTCAATGCACACAACAGATTGTAAGCCGCCGACCTGGAAGGGGGAAGGACAACAAGTGAGAGGTGTTGAGTCCTGTCAAGAGTAGCGCAAACCCCCCCCCAAATGTTCTGAAGTTTTATCATGACTCCGTTGACTCTCATCCCAAATAGATTTGGGTGGACATAACAGCTTCTTCATATGTAATTTAGCTCTAAACTTAAGCCACATTTACAGCCAAAAACATAAGTGTCTTAACATTTTGGAACTTGCAATTCCTGACACAAAACCAAAAGACACCAAACAGATGAGCTTTTGGAGTCCACAGTAGAAATTACAACTTCTTCAGTAAAAGGAAGCTGGTGATGTTACTGTTGTTTTAGGTGGAATAATCTCGCTAGAATAAGTCTAAAGGCCCTACAGCACCGACCTGAGGCTGGGGTCAGAGCTGCCCAGGTTCAGCAGGGCGATGTTGAGCAGAGTGCCGGGAACATCTTTGGGTCGAATCTTGGTGTGCTGTGGGATGGAGTCCGGCTGCGACAGCTCCCAGCGCGTCCGGATGTGGATGATGGACTGGACGATGGCGTCACACTCTTGGTGCATGAACGTGAGCGGCGTGCCCTGGTTGGCCATGGTGAGGGTGAACTGGCTCTCGTCCACCAGGCAAATCTCCTCGATCTCTGAGGCGTAGTAGACGTCATTGAGGAAGACGGGCTGGCCGAGGACGCGGGTCCGCTCGGCAGAGGTCACCTGAACTGCAGTCGAGCCCACCTGACCAGCGAGAAAACATACAGTGTTTAAGGAAAAACCTAAACCCATTGCTCAAATTCCTCTTGATCGTACTAACGTTCTCTGATCTTATCCTTCCAGTCTAATAAGGTATTCACAAAAGCTACTCCACAGTGCCCTGGAAGCAGTTTGCAGTTTCGTTACCTCTGCAGCTACCCTCAGGTTCCAAAGACCAAGCCCCCACAGACTGAGCTACATTCGCCCTTCGGCGGCATCCTCACCTTTATTGAGACCTTGGTGTCTTTGTGGGCCAGCTTGAGGGCATTATGGAACACTTTGAGGTCTTCCTCAAGGGTCAGCGTGGCCGCGGGCAGCTTCTGTTGGTCCGGTTCGATGTGTTCGGCAAGCTTAGCTGGAGAGTCGATGAACTGGAGCCGCTTGCTGCCCTTCAGGCCCGTCAGCAGCCGCTCGTGGTACTTGGTGTACTCCCTCACCCAGGTGTTGCAGTTGTAGACGAAGACGGCCGCTACATTCTCGTAGGCGAAGCCGGGAAAGACCACGAACCACTTGGACAGGAAGTCGGTTTTGAAGCGATTGCTAGGTCCTACGTGTGTTAGGTCTACCACTATCTCGTAGGGCTTGGCGTAGTAGGGTTTGAGAGTGAGGAGGACATGGTAGATGAGCAGGTCACCGTTGATCTGGCCTGTTTTGAACCTAAAGAAAAAAGAAATCAGACAAGGTCAACCTCAGGCCTTCTTGAGTAAATAATGCATTTCTGTGTTTGGGGTTAGTAGTGTATCGTTTAAACGTGTTCATGGCATAATGTGTTACAGTCCTTTTTTTGGCTTCTGAGAAACTACATCACTATTTTTGTCTCTCTCTTCTTGTAAGAGCTTGTCAGCATCTGCGGTATCAACAAGAGGCCCCGAAATAACCAGAGCAGAAACAGACCCAGAGACGGGGTCAGGAAGTACGTTCAGAGCGTCTCAAGAGTCTGTCTGCAGCAGGTGTCTCACTGCATCCCTCCAACAACACTTCCACATAAGACCAAGTCAAGTAAGTATTGTCAACACAAGCCAACTTTGCATGGTAGGTGATGCAGAAAGTTCACGTTTCTGCTCTTAATTTCAGAGCACAATGGAAGGAACCAGAACCTCCCTCTGGCTGTTTCTCCTGCTCAACCAGCTGCCGCTCTGTCCCACCGACGCAGGCCGAAACCTTTTGACTGTGCAGCCGTATGAAACAGAAGATCAGGGCGGCAACTCGACGCCTGCCGTGGAGCACAGCCTCACAACCACTGGCCGCACAAACTCACTTGACGCGGACACCGACGGTACCCGTGCAGACTGCTTGATCGACACCGAGATGGGTCTGATCGCTCTGGGCTCAGCGGGGGGGTTGATCGTCTGCCTGCTAGTTGCCACCGTGGTGCTGGCATGTCAGGTCTGCCTCATTCAGCGCCGGGTTTACGCCCCCCGATCCTCCCGGTCCAACATGGACTTGGTGAGCGGTACTGGGTACTGGGGCGTCGACCAGCAGGAGGCGGGAGGACTGGTTGGGCCGTGCGATGCCAGCGTCATGCTTGAGGAGGTGAGAGCCGACAGCGAGATGGAGGACGAGAGGCAGGCTGAAATACGAGAGGCGAGGGAGGAGGCCGGGGCAGGACTGGAGAGAGGGGCCACGGCGATGTCTTTGGAAGAGAAGGTCGGTCAGATGCAGAGCTCCAGCTCCAGAGACTCCTGTCTGGAGATTCCCAGGGATCTGGAGGATATGCCCCTTGTTGTGTGAGGAGGTAACCCCGCCTAGACCACCTCCAGTCCCAGACACTCCACTCCACTCACAAACCAGTCAGTTTAGCTAATGTGTTTAACTTCTTCTATTTAAGTTCTATCCAGTTTATTTCACCTCACAGAATTTTACTGAAACAGCCACCTGGGCATCGCTTGAAATGTTGTCAACTGGTGCCGATTAAATACCAGAGTTACTGAACCCACACAAACAAGGATAGTTCTTCAAAACCTTGCTTTGAGAAATATAAATACATATATTTAAGAAAACCTGTTTTCTTCACTCAAGAAGCCAAACTACTCAAATATTCTGGCAAAATAATACTTATTAAAGTAAAAAATACATACTTTTATCCAACTATCAAGACGTGGAAAAGCTCTCAAAAAACACCTTTAAGGGTGAAAAACGGAAGAAACTTCAGAGAGAGAAACTGAGGAAGTATTTATATTATGAAATACTTAAGTTGAAGTAATGAGAATAGTACTGCAGCAAAGAGGCAAACTTACTGTCAGACACAGAAACAAAGGTGTAAAGCGTGAAGGGTACGTTTCTCAACCTTTAAAGTTGAACCGTTAAACATCTCATGTGCTACATAGTTCTACACACTTGCTGAGCAAATTCTACATTTACTTTAAATCTGCTTGATTTGGCTCAGTTTTAGAAAATGAGCGGAAACAATAAATAAGTAGATCAACAGACTTTTAGAGAATCAAAGTGATCACAGGACCGATTCCTAGGGGACACCGAGATGATGGTCAGAAGGTACAACGTCTAATAATCTTTGTTGCGTTCATGAATCTCTGTTTATGATGTTTACTGCAGACTAATACTTCTGATTCTTTCATAACATATGAAACTGTTACAATGTCGGGTATTAAATAAATGAAGTTTTGCATCGTTTCAGTGTCGTTTGTTCCTTTTCTATTGGCTTCTTTAAGGAATGCATAGTTATAACAAGTAGTATAACTCGAAGTAATGATCAGCCAGAAGGTACTGAAGTACTGAAGGTGTGGTGAGCAGAAATACAACATTCTTCACTGTGCACGACTAGAACACGTAAATGAAGGTTGAGGAGGCTGTGACTGTAGAGCTGAACGGATGCTGTGCTCTTCTGTAGACTGCTGCTGTGTCTGAATTAGATCGTGGTTAATCTGCGCGAGCTAAACTTAGTAGACTCCGTCCGTGTCTGAGCGGACACTAAGTGGTGTTAACTTTATCACTAACTCGTTCACAAGCGTGTTCATGAGCAACATCCTAGCTTTCAACCAGGCGGCTTCAGCTCAGAGCAAAGTTTCTGATACACAATCGTGTACTTTTAAAATATGAAGTGACGCATGAACTCTGTGCCTCACTTGTTCCCTTTATTGGAAATAAAGAGAGAGCCTGAGTGGGCCTGAAGACACGCTGGTCTGCAGAGATGCAGCACATTATGAGCACCACCACGGCGTGTATGCGTACTAACACCTTTATACAATCCTGGTTAAGAAAGGAGTCAAATAAATGTCTTGTAATCAATCAAAGGGTTGAACATCCGGAGAACAAGTTGATTCAGCTGCAAAATATTTACTCAAATGTAGATTTCTAAAGATTTTTAAAGCATTTGAAAACAAATCCTGAGACATATTTATGCTAAATAATGATTCTAATTAAAGTGAGATGCTTTCATCAGTATTTGTAGCAGTCATGTCTGAAAGCTGTGCGTGTGCAGTAAAGCACTGCGTTACTAAAACTGTATGACTAAGCCGCGCCACAACCTAACGGCTAACCAACGGAGGTTCACTTCAGTTACATCATGATGCCTTCAGGCTCTGCTCAGTGAACATGAGTACTGGCTGAAGGTCCATTATAACGTTATCATGATGTGTTCACAGGTCATCTGTAAAATGTAGTTTTGGTGATAAACTTGAATGAATCCAGTAGTTTGAAGGAGATGTTTTCACATGAATATAAAATAGATATTAGAGATGAATTATGAGCTGTTTAACTTCATAACACGAGCTCTAAGAACATTATTATACTTCAGTAAAATAATAATGAAGAGATTTATTTTAATAGATATAAATACAATCTTTTTTTTCCTGATCATTTGAATTGTGTTTTTATGAAGAAAAAAAACACAATAAATTACTACAACAAAGTAAAAGTACAACATTCAGAAGTTTTGATGACTTGAGGTCGGTTTGAATGATTTTTGGGACGATGGCTCAACATGTGTTGCTCCACTAGTTCAAACCATCAGTCCTTCATGTACAGAACAGAGACGATTAAAGTCATTTCTACAAATGTTTCTTTAATTCTATTATGCACGATTCACCGTTAACACGTTTGAATGCAGTCAGGCTCTGGTGTGAAACTGAATGAACTACTATCTTTAGCACATCAGACCTGAGAATGCAGAGTCGGCTTCACACGTCACACTTCCTGTAAGTGAAGCAAGAAGGACTCAAGGTTTCAGCAGAGAGGAGCCTTCAATGCCCCGAGCTGTGCTCTCACTCAGAGGACTCAATAAGACCAACTATTTACCTCTAAATACATCCTGCAACCACACAGCTGAGGGGCTACTGGAGGTGTGAAGTCATTGGTAAGTACAATTTAATCATGAATTATTAATGTACCTGAGGTGCATCTGATAACTCCAGTGCTTTGGATTGATGCTGGTGCTAAAAGATGAAAAGTTACCTCACAAAACTGTACCGAGACTGAGCCGAGGATAACATCTACTTTGATGGATTCTTCACAACTAAAGCGCCACAACTAAAGACAGAGAAATGATCAACAACAATTAACAAGACAACAATTCTCCGTTAAACAGAAAAGCTCCTTTAAATGAAGATATTTGACTATTGTAAAATGTAACTAAAGAAACTTTAAATACACTCTGTATGTACCGCTGACGCATACGTCTATTTAGAGTTTGAGGAAACGGTACAACAGCAGTTTACATTGCAACACTGCACATTGCATAAGATGGTATTGCTCTGCATCTCCAACTAAAGAACTTCCTCTGTTCTAGCAACCAGCCAGAAGACGGAAGAAAAACAATGACCATCAACTTTCTGAGCCTGATGTTGGTGTGGCTGCTGCCGCTGCCGTCCGGTCAGAATAACACCTTCAGCCATGTGACGACAGGAATGCAGGTAACACCAAGCGAGTCCACGCAGGACCAGCTGACGACACGGGAGGCGTCCAGCCTGGATCCGGTCACAGAGGTCGCAGGTCGTCACATCGTTCGGTCCATCGTGGTTCAAGAAAACGGGACGAGACCCAGCGACGAACCTTCACTGCAAACAACTTCTAAAATGTTCCCACCAGGGATTCGAACCGCAGCAACTCCAACCAACTCCACATGGTCTCGGTTCAAAGGCTCAACAGAAAGCGTGAAGTCCATGATGGAGTTTAACTTCACAACATCAGCAGCAAGAGTCGCAACCAGTCACGCCGGCGACCCAACCACAACCACATGGACACCACCAACGCCAAGCAGCTCCGCCCAAACTCAATCCACTGACGATGAAACAAGCCGACCATCCACACGTCCGACGCCGTCCACAAGCCTCGTCTCTACCACCAACGCATCTACCGAACCCGTTGAGAACAAAACCGCCAACGCCAGCCCGGTCACAGCTACGCAGTCCCCCGGTTTGTACAGAACGCCAAAGGCCACGACAAAGACGCCATTGTTCCACGTTGCTACAACGAAGGAAAGACGTCCGGGGGGAAAAGAAAAGCCTGCTAAAGGATCGAACCACAGCAAAGCAGTGGCGGGGGTAATAGGTGGAGCCCTGGTAGTCATGATGGTGGGCTTCCTGCTGATCTACATCAAGAAGCGGAAGCTTCAGAAGCAGCAGATAACGACTGGAGACTGGGCTGGTCCCTCGCCGTTCCTCGAGGGTGGAGCCAACAACGGCCAGGTGACGATGAGGCCATCCAACCGGACGTCCCTCTCCAGCTTCCTGACTCAGAGGCTGTCGAAGAGACTGTCCACGCTGCCGGACGCCGGCGAGGAGTTGGAAGACTTGACGCCGGCGAGCACGTTCGGAGGCGAACATAAAGGGAGTTTGTTCGGTCGAGAGGCCGGTGGAAGCGACGGGACAGCCGGAGACGTTCCAGAGACGAAAAGCAACGGAGACGGTGGAGAACTTCGTCTCGCTGACGAATGAGATGCCGCGCACGAACAACTCGGAGGCAAACCACATGCAAGACCTTTCTGCAAACCCCCCCACTCCACCTGGACAACCATGAGTGAACTGATCCTCCGCTGTCACTGGCTGCTAGGCAGCAAGGACACAGGAAACGACCTCGTCACTGTTTGAGGAAATGATCGAGAGAGAAGAGATGTTCATCTAAGTCTCTACGCTTACAAATAAACACAAGATCATAAATAAAAGAAAAAGTCATGAACTACTCAGTACATCTGAAACTACAGAAGAAGTATTTTTCTAAATCATGTGAGATGTTGAACTCGTACTATTAGTCAACATGATCGTTCTACATGAAGGTTTCTGTGACTCAAACCAGAGCTTTGCTGGATTCCCTTTAGAAAGTATATTTAATTTAATTAAATGTGGCTTTACTGACATGAAAGATTCAGAAAAAATAAAGTTACCAAAGCATCAAATAAAAAAAAGTACACAATAAAATCAATATGAATATTTACACGACATTACTGTTATAATATATATACAGCATTACAATTACGTGTGTGTGTTGAGAGCTCAGTAAACTCTTTCATTACAGAGTTGAATTGGTCAAAATAAATGTTCCTTATTTCAATGAATGTGTTGTGTTTTAGGAGGAAGTCTCTGTTGAACACAGTGACCTCATACTCTGCTTTTCTTTTGGCCATGATGTGTTTTTGTGGTTTCCTATTTAGATTTTCCAGCTTGTGGTCTCTGAGAATGAACTTAGTCTCCGTCTCTGTAAAAAACTAATATTTTACAGCATCAAGCCGTGTAATATACTTCCAGCGCTGCTCTCTGTGCAGCCTTCAGGTTTGGTGTTAGTACTTTAGAGGTGAAAGATGTTTATGATCTGTTCTTTGTGGTTTTCACAATGTGTCATTTTAAACCTTAAGAACAGTGTGTTGATGTATTTAATCAAGTTGTTCATAATTCTGATCGTGAAGCCATTTGTTAAACTATATTTGTGTTTATTTCCTTGTGTCTGAAGAGAACTGTGACTGTTCAGCACATAAAAGAAGAAAGAGAAGCTCCTGGTGACGTTGGTTTGAGTCACATGAATGGGTGGTTGTGGTTTAGGATGTCACATTAAACACACTTCCACATATCACACACTTCTACAGCTCTACAGTACTGCTGTCTCCAACCACTAATAATCAGACTTATTCAAACCTGAGAGAGGAACGCGTCGTCCTAACCGTCGGAGTACATCGAGTTCATTATTCAGTAAATCACAGACGACAGCTCAATATTCATTATGTTTAGATACGAAAAGTATTGAATTATGAGACTATTCTAACTCGTTGTACCCTGAAATAACTCACAAAATACTCAACTGTGCCCACTCACACACTCACACACACACTCACACACTCACTCACTCTCTTTAGCCTCATCAGCAGCAGAGTGGGCCGGCTCGCTGCTGCAATTCTCCCCGTCTCCCTCTCTCTCTCCCTCCTCCTCTCCCTCCTCTCTCCCCTCTCCTCCTCCCTCCCTCCCTCCCTCCCTCCTCTCCCCTCTCCTCTCCCTCCCTCCTCTCCTCTCCCTCCCTCCCCCCTCCTCTCCTCTCCCTCTCCCCTCCTCTCCCTCCCCTCCTCTCTCCCTCCTCCCTCTGAACAAACCTGCAGCTGCATTGGAATCTGACAGAGCAGGACGGGGGGGGGGACCGGCGCTTGCAGGCAGCATGTTTAGAGGCACAACCTCCAGAGAAAAGAGGCTGAGAGACTCCAACAGACTGCAGGAGGAAGAACCGAGAGGAGGGATGACGGAGCGACGCTAGAGAGGACGAGGTGAGTGACTTCAAACGGGACGAGCCACATTAAACCTGAGCAGAGAGAGAGCCGCTTCACTGTGAATGCAGTAAACCACACAGGGCTCTGTCTCCATGCAGATCTATGCTTTTTAGTTTTAAATGGAAAGTACAGCCTTTAAACAAAAACAGAGGGATTCAGCGACGATGAACCGCCTCCAGATAATGTAACGGCGTGAAAACATTTCTGGATTCAACAGAAAATGTGTCCCACAGTCCCGTCTGTGGAAACACAAACGCACATGGAGCTCCGGTCTTCTGCAGTTAGCGTGTCGCCCTGAATGAACCGAGTCTCTCTGCAGCACTCTGAGCTCCGGTCCCTCTGGCAGAGCTTCAAGTTATCTCTCAGGATGACTCGCACCTTTTAAGAGTATCACAAATGGGACTCTTTGCACTAAGAATAAGGCAGATTTGAATTAAGATGCATAATTAAGATGGAAAACAAACGAGTTACAAATGAAACGGAGTCATCTGTCTGCGCTGCTTCTATTTAACGCTGTGTGTCGTCCTCCAGAGCCCGGACCATGACCGCCTGCCTCTTCCTGCTGCTGTGTGGGCTGCTCGGGGGTCGGGTGGTGTCCATCTGCCCCACCGTGTGCTCCTGCAGCCGGGGGCACCGCGCGGTGGACTGCTCCTCCCGAGGCCTGACCAAGCTGCCGCCCGGCCTGCAGCACAACATCAACTTCCTCAACCTGTCTTTTAACAGGTGAGCAGCTCTGTGCATGCGAGAGGTCCTCAGGAACAATAGAACTCGTGACGTCACAAATAGTTCACTGATAAGAAACAGGAAGTGTTCAAAATCTACATGTGAGTAAATATTTATCAGCCAAATCAAATAGTTCACAGGATGTTCAACCGTTGTTTCATTTAATACTTATTTCTCTACAGGTTTGTATGAAGGTAATAAAGTAGTTTATGAATATGAGATATGAGTTTATTGATGATTATAATCCCTCCTCTATAGTGGAGGTTAGTTTCTGGCTTTCTGCCGTAAATTCTTCAGTTAATTGTGTTTGTACGTCCTCTGGCGCTTTGGAGAATATTGCAACCAACAGCCACACGCAAATATAAACCAGGCGACAAAGTGAAGTCAGTGCTTCAAGTGTTAAAGCTGCATTCTCTCTAATGTCCACCAGGGGGCGACTCCTCTGGTTGTATAGAAGTCTATGAGAAAATGACTCTACTTCTCTCTTGATTTATTACCTCAGTAAACATTGTAAACATGAGTTTATGGTCTCAATCTCTAGTTTCAAGTCTTCTTCAATACAGCATGATGTTCATTTAGTACATTATGGTCCATTTAGAGTCACACAGACCATAAAGCAGGGGATGCTTTAGGGCGGGGCTACACAGTGATTGATAGGTCTCTACGGCACTCCTCAGTCCAGATATGCTCACTTCCTGTTCACTGGTTGTAAAAAAAAACATGGCGACCGCGAAATCTGCGAACTGGAGGCTTCAAAACATGAGTCCACTAACTAACGGGTGACGTCTCCATGACTACGTCCACTTCTGATAAACAAAGCTTTAGAAAGAGTTTGTGGAAGTGAAGAAGTTGAATAAAGGTTGTACAGTAGGAGCTATTCACTTAATAATAAAATCACACTATATTTAATGTGTTTCCTAATGTTTCACCCTTCTGACAGCCTGCAGGGTCTGGAGAGCCAGCTCACCCACTACGCCCACCTGCGGACCCTGGACCTGTCCTACAACCGGCTGGAGACGCTGCCCCCCGCCCTGCCGCGCTCGCTGTGGGACATCCGAGCGGCGGGGAACCACCTGCGCTCGCTGGACAAGAACGACACGGCCTACCACTGGAACCTGAAGGTCCTGGACCTGTCGGGCAACGAGCTGGAAAGGGTGGTCTTCATCAACAACACGCTGCCGAGCCTCCGGACCCTCGACCTCAGCCACAACCGGTTCTGGACCGTGCCCACCAACATGCCGCACAACCTGGAGCGCGCCGACCTGTCGCACAACTACCTCGCGCAGATCCTGCCGGGCTCGTTGGACCGGCTGCTGAGGCTGGCTCAGTTCTACCTGCACGCCAACCGCTTCTCCTGGCTGCCGGAGGGGATATTTGATAAGCTGGCAGCGCTGGAGGTGATGACGCTCGGGGATAACCCCTGGGCTTGCGAGGAAGAGGAGAACATAACGAAGCTCCTGACATGGGCGGGGCAAACCCGGGCCACCGTCTTAGGCTGCCCCTGTTACACGAAACCCATCTGTGGGCAGCAAGCAGCTCCAGGGAGGGAGCGGCACTCTGCGCCGTTCACAGAGCCGCCGCTCTGGGTCGACGAAGGCCGCGCCGGTCCGTCGACCGGCTACCAGGCCAAATGGGCCCTTTTCGAGACGGGGGAGTACGAGGACAGGAGAGGGGCGAATGGATCTGGGGACCACGTGGCGTTTGTCTGGACGTCTCCCACTAACTCGGACGGTTTCTCCCCACACACGAGCACAACGGCCCGGACGTCTTCCACGAAGAAACCCAGAGCGGCGACCTCCAGGAACAAAAGTCACGGACTCTTCACCGAGACTCGACAAGCTGTCAGTCTGACTATTTTAGTCCTGACAGCGTTCAACACCTTCTGAACCACATGTACTGGTCACAGAACGTACTAGAACATGAACGTGTGACCAGGAAACTCCTTTCATTTTCATTTCTCTTTGTAAAAACCTGTTACTGCCTGTTGTCTCCATCATACAAGTGTACCTCCATGTTTCAATGTTCCCTCACAATCCTGAAGTGTATCAGACTAAACTAGCTCTGAATATCTGAATACATGGTTTGAAGAGGAAGTGTTGTCGATGCTCAGCTCTCTGCAGAACGCTTCCACACCGACGTTCTGCTGCGCTCGCTGTTTTCTTCATGACTGATGCTACGTTTGTTCCTGCTGAGTCAAAGCGGGATGCACATTACATCACATTCAGCCCGTGTCTGAGCAGTGAGCAGCCTCAGTAAAGTAAAGAATACTGAAAGAACTGAAAAAGGAATGCATGGAATGGTTGTATGTGTTCCAGTATGCATTGAATCCCCAATGATCTCATTTAATATGCAACTAAACAAAGCACAAGAAACAAGTAATCACGTTTACAACTCTGGTTTGTAATCAGATCAGACTTTCTGTCACGTTTAGTAAGCTGTGACTCGTTTATTAATCAAAGTGTGACTGAATTGAGTCCATGTGATGATGAGCGTTCTGTTACACCTCGATAGAGACTCTCCTGCAGAACAGGAAGCGGTCTGATCCGGATCACAGGTCTGAACGGCCGACGTTTCAAAGGTTCAGCCAAAACATTTAAAACAGGGCAGAGCTGCTGCATCCATCACATTTAGTTTGACAGGTAAAAAAGATTCTGATGATTCAAATCACAGCAGGTGGTGACCGCCGGACAAACAGGAAAAGTTTGGATTTTTCCCTCAAAACGAAGGAAAAAGAACGGCAGCGGAGAACGTAGTGGACGTTATGGATCCTGAGGTAAAAGTATTCAGCAGAACCAGATCTCAACCAAGACTGCAGGACTGTTTGTGCCATGAATAAGGATTCACTGTATTAACTCAATCTACCATCTATCTCTCAGAGAAGTTCAACTGTCTGCTTTCTTCCAATCTCAAAAGATCGACCACCAACTATATATACTAAACCTTATTAAAGGGACTATATATACGAAACCTTATTAAAGTGACTATATATACTAAACCTTATTAAAGTGACTATATATACTAAACCTTATTAAAGTGAGGTTCAAATCATCCTGTAGAACTCCAGACGGACCGATGATTTAACAGAGATCCACGTTAAACACATGAAGAAGAATGGAGCCATTGATTATTAACACAAACTAAATAAAGACAAAACTAATGATCGAGAAAAATGACTGTTACATTTGCTTCCGTAGTTCATCGGATAACCGCTAAGGCTAGCTAATCGTCGCAGAGCTTTAGCATATTGGTGTTGATGTGTAACATGTTTAAAATGTACGAAATGTGGCGAATATCGCCAACAATACAGCTGGCACTAACATGTGAAAGAGCACTAGCAGCTCATAACACTAGCAGCTAGCACTAGCAGCTAGCGCCACACAAGTTAAACTCCATCAGAGAAGTTTTTTGGTATCTCTGGATAGCTTTAGCCTCAGAGGTAAGTAAAGTTTTACGGTGTTCTATTAGCTTTGTGTTTCTGGGTGAAATTCACAACTTTGGTTCTACATTACGCACGTTAGACCATTCAACATGGACCATTACAGCGCTGATATTTGGTCATATAAACCTGTAGTATTTTACCAGAGTACCAGGGTTTTTCATTTGCCGGATTTGGATTCATTTGCTGGATGCTTTGTAATTTGTAATCTGGAGTTCAGAGACACAAACACTAATCTGACCTGGCCTGGTCTTTTTATGACCGCTAGTGTCTTTTTCCAATTGTTCCCAATGAGGACAGAGTGTGTGCGGCCGTCTGAGGACGCCTAGAAAAGAAGCAGCTGCACTCAGTCGTTTTTCTGAGCAGTCTGCTGTTTTTATGCGTCCGCTTTGAGCGCTTTAAGTTTACATTTCTGAGCACTTTTCAGAAAAGCTCAGGTGACGTCAGTGTAGTAAATGTAGCAGAAGCTTGTTCTGTCCGTCTGTCCATCCTAAACATTATATTTTGGACACAGACTATCATGAAGACACTGAATGTTTCTGGTGTTTGTTGAGCTTTTACCAGCGAACGCCTCGTCTCTCGGACTGTGTTTTGTATAGACCCTTTCTAGTATTGCGACCACTCAAAGCGCTTTAACACTACTTGTCACTGATGGTTTGGGCTACCATGCCAGGTTTCACCTTGGACTCTAACTAACCATTCGTACTGTTCACACACCATTGGCACAGCCTACTTAAGAGATTTAGGATCAAGTGTCTCACCCAAGGACACATGGACTAACTAGATCCATCTGCCGATCCTCCTCCGTAGTCGTGTTACACATGCTGCTATATTCAAACGTAGGTTCTTAGTTTAAGCGTAAACCTGCATTGCTAAAGCTTTCAGATAAATGCATGGCTATGATTCAGCACCATGACAAACGAACCGGGCGATGAGCTGATGTTAAGGAGAGAGGCGGTCCTACCTGCGGGCCACGTAGTAGAACACTGGGTTGCCGGTCTTGGAGGTTCCTGCTTGGTAGAAGATGTTGAGGGTCTTTAAGGCCTTGAACTCCTCTTTCTCATGGACCTGGTGCCTAAAAAACAAACCAGAGACCTGAGGGTCAGTCTCGATCCAATCTCAAAGATTTGGTGTTCTAAAGGAGGACCTTAAGAAGCCAGTTTATCACTATGTTAACGCTACCTGGTCATGAACTCCTCAAACTTGGAGCTGGTCAAGTTGAGGCTAGACCAGTGCGTGTCAGCCACGGGTTTGTGTTCAGGAGGACCCAGGTAGGCCAGCAGGGTGGCCATCTTGTCAAAAGGTCGCCTGCCCACGGCTTTGTGGTCCCTGGAAATTAGACCGTAAAAAACCACGTCACAAAACATGATCGGTGGTAAAAGAGTGAGCTCATTGTTGAGATCCGTTGCCCCACCTGTTACTGGAGAGGTACTGGCCGATCCTCTCCTGGTTGTTCCACAGCAGGCGGTGGAGGGCCAGAACGTTGCCGTCACTGATGAAAGACAGACTGTGGTTGACTGAGTCGCTGGGAGGAGAGTCGGACGCGATGTCCAAGAAGAACCTGGGACGGAGGACGAACAGAGTGCACACTCACCGCTTTAGTTAAAGAGCGGTGTCTGAAGAAAGGTCTCTGGTACCGTGTTCTACCAGGAATACGCCACAGGATTCTAACCTGTGACCTTAGAGCAGGTTCTGTGAGAGCACCAAACTACTTTGTTAACCTTCATCAAGTAAGAAACAACCCACAAACACTGTAACCCAAATGTAGGCGGAATGAGACCCTAAAGGTTATCACATAAGTAAAAAACACATCTGCATCATTCATTAAAATGCATTTATGAGACATTAATAATTAACATCATGCTTTGAGCGTCTCACCGTCTGGCTGAATCAAAGTTGCTCCTGACAAAGTCATTAAAAGGCCTCATGTGTTCTTCTTTTGTAAACAAGACGTGGTTTGCGATGCTCTGCAGAATCTAAAGGAAAAGACAGGAAATATAGAACAATCCAACAAAATAAACTGCTAGTCCAAACAAGGTCTCGGCCCATAAAGCGGGGCTAAAGGTCACACAATCAGACTCATCTGAGACCGGTTCAAGTACAGAGTTCTTCTTCAAACAGTTGGTGAGAACAGAACACCTGTAGATTATTAAAATACACAAGAATGTTTACAGAAAGCTCAAGGCTGCCAATATAAGTCCATTAATTCACCAGCCTACCTTGGACATGAGCTTGAGACCCCGCTCTATCCTGGGGTGGGGCTTCTTGTCCAGGATTCCGGCCTCGTATGGAGACACGATGGCCGGGTTGACGAAGCGCAGGAACATGGCGCTGCCCACCGCGCCAATGCTGTTCTGGGGGAAACGCTGACTCACCACCTGCATGAGGGAGGATGGAGGGAACAAGGGAGGACAGAGGAAAGGGAAGAACAAAGGAGGGAAATGTAGAACAGGAGAGAGGTTTGAGCAAAAGGGAAGGACAAAAAATACAGGGAAAAAATGGTATTTCAGTACATTTTAAGAGCAATAGAAGGAAGTGATGAGAGTAAATAAATAAACATGAATCAATGTGTGTAGCAGAGTAAAGATGAGCCAAGACAGTAAAAGATGTGAGAGGGAGGAGGACACATGAAGAGAGACTTTGAAACAATCCCAGTTCATTTTGGGCTGTAGCAAGAGTTTAAAAAGGTTGTGACTCCGGTTACAGTCCAAGAGAAGAGAAGAGAAGAGAAGAGCAAGACGAGGAGCTGCCTCCTCCCTGCTGGTGAACGATGACACAGGAAGTCATCAGAACAAAAATAAAAGGAGGCGGATGAGAGAGCCATGTGTGGTGCAAAGCAGTGGATGATCCCAACAGGTGGAAACCCCCCAAAAGATATGACAACCAGGAGACGTCAAGACGCTCCACAATCAGGTCCAACTGAAGCTGGATTACAGAGAAATGAGTAGTTCTTGAACATACATCATCACTTTATTCCACGATGGACGATCAGCAAACACAAGTCTCTAATATAGACGATCAGATCTGCAGTAAAAGCCACAACGCTCTTTTCACTTGAGACCGCCTGAAAGCCTCGATAGCAAAATCTCCACTATTATCAGTCGCTTGCAACAGTCACTAAAATGTCCTTTAAAAGCTTACTAATGCCCAACAACTGCAGACACATCTATGCACACATATATACGTGTATAGTGAGTGCCAGAGACACGTCCAGCCAGAGGCGCAACAGGTGGAGTGAAGAGAGTCTGTCTTCACCTTCAGCGTCTTTCCTGAAAAAGCTAAATTAAAAGCGGACATTGTCTCTCTTCTTCTTGGATAGATACCAGGACGGCAACCAGAAGACTAAAGTGTGAGTGAGCAGCCTCGTAGCTGAGGCTAGCATCCAAGACAAACCTGCATACTATGTACTGAGTCTGTGTCGGACTTCAGCAGAATACTGGAGCATGGGGGGGGGTCATCATTCATACTACCATTGTAGTTTTGGTCATCATTCATACCAGAAAAAAAGCTCTGATGAAGGTCCTTCAGACTAAAAGCTCAAAATGAAGTGTGCAGATATCTATCCCATCAGTTTAAACTCTTTGATACTCCAGCACCTTAAAACACACAATCAGTGTGTCCATAGAGTCTAAGCCGTCACGTTATCCAAACTCATTAGGCAGAGAATAAGACAAACTAAAGTCATAACCCAGACTGTTCACATCCATCACTGCTCACGTTTGTCTCCTTCACATTGGTCCTTTGTGGGGATTTGTCTGCTCTGACGTCATCACATGTGAAACTAAAACAACAACAACACACTTACTGGAGTCTGTGTATAACACCATTTAAAAATATCTATTTTATTTGTCTTCAGTCATAAACATTACTTCCGTTTAAACCTGGTGTCAGTATGTGTAGGATTGAATGCAAGTCAACAGTAATACTCCAACTCTAAAGAATAATAAAGAATGTGCTGTGGTTTTAAAGTAGTATTACTGACTCACTGCGTAGCTTTGTATTAGTGTAAACTACAAACCACACCAAAGAATAACAACGTTTAAATATGAACGCTATTTGGCCACAAACGTGAATTTAAAAGCACGTGTTCTGATGTATATTCAGAGGCAGCATGAACGCACCATGGCAAATGGACTTTCATGTATATAAAGAGTCTTTCTAGTCTTCTTTAGACTACATGTCCACATTCCCCCATTCATAAACACACACACACAGTCCCCATCAGGATCTGAACTAATATACATTCACACAGTGGGGTTCAGTCTCTTCTAATGGTCACAAATGTCTTAGATAGTGTATTTGGCAACAATGGAATCTATAAATCCAACATTTGTCAGTGTCCACAAGTGTTACCAATGTTGGAAAAAAACATGGAGGCTGTAGGTGTTATAAATATTAAACTATTCACATGTTTCAGCCTCTCCTCCTCTCCCCTCCCCTCTCCTAACGTTATAATGTACATTCAGCCAGTACTCACTGGCTGAATGTTCACTGAGCAGAGCCTGAAGGCATCATAATGTAACTGAAGTGAACCTCCGTTGGTTAGCCGTTAGCGG